TATGCCCAAGAATTACAGATAGTTTCCCTTTATCAGACCGGCTCCAAGATGTGCCCATATCCTTTGTACTTCTAAAGACACGAAGGCTGTCCTGATTAGATGACCTCCGTACACACAGTGACATCCACAATGTGGAGGAAGGCCTTCTGCTCTGTCTAATCTGACTAACAGAATAACAATGCACATGATGTATAAAGAATAAACCTAACATTTCCAAGTTTAAAGTTGTTCAAATGTTTGAAACTCTCATAATCAGTATGAGGGAAGACGGACCAAAATATGTGGTTTGAGAGGGGTGGGAAGGAAGCCATCTATGTTAAGAAAGAAAAACCAAGCTTAAAAAGAGGGGGTGGACTCAGATTTCAAAAACCTACAATGCAGCAATTGGGTTAATCCCTTTGTGCTATCATCACCTCCCCCAGCCCCTGTACAGGAAAGCAAGGGACCTCGCCTATTCAGCCTGGCCCACAATTCCCTTTAACGACCCCTCTTTGAGACACATTGACAGGTATGTAGCATTGCAGGCTAACAAAAGAAGCCCAACGACCCCCATTCCGAAGGGGTGGACCCTTTCATCCGTTTCAATTTGCATGTTTTCTAAACAAAAACAAGCTTTTAATGGGCTAATGTATACAACCTGGAACTCAACATTATTTCTGACATTTTGAATTGAAAAAGCTTCCTGGATGGGAAGAGAAACATCCTCAAACTTGGAAACAAAGTCCAGTAGATTGTTTTTAATTTTCTTTTTTCATAATATAGATGATGTTTTACCAAAGTAAGGACATTCTTCTGGCCCACCCTTCATTTTTACTAACAGTTTAGGGCTGGTTATACTCCCCCAGCAGTGTGTCAGTTAGCTTGCCAAAGGTATGACGCAGATGTTTCTGATTTATGCCCAATTTTGAAACGTGGTCTACGCTATGTAGATTGTGTTCGTTCATCCAGGTCATAGTCATTCCAAAAAAAGAACATTAAAAACAATCATCGGACTTTGTTTCTGTTAATATGTGGAAGTTATGTCCCCCTGAAGGCAGCTGCACCTCAGAACTTCCCTACCGGTTCTTTTCCTGGGAGCAAGTTGTTTACTACTCTTAACTCAAACTGGGTAAAGCCATATAAAAAAGGACTACAAAAACAGGAGTAAAAAAGTAACAGCGTTTATTCCAGATCAGGTCGTTACAGGACAGAGAAAATGCTTGGAGTTTGCACAGCTGTGGGCTCAAAAAAGAGTCCGGCAAAGTTGAGCAAAGATTGAGCCCCGAACAAGGTTACTTCTTCTTATAGCTCATGAGTCCATGTTTTGCATCAGGTGGAAGCTCAGCTGTCCGTATCAGAAACTGACACGCCATCCATGCCCTGACCTGTATGCATCTTGCCTCTATGCCCAAGAATTACAGATAGTTTCCCTTTATCAGACCGGCTCCAAGATGTGCCCATATCCTTTGTACTTCTAAAGACACGAAGGCTGTCCTGATTAGATGACCTCCGTACACACAGTGACATCCACAAAGTGAAGGAAGGCCTTCTGCTCTGTCTAATCTGACTAACAGAATAACAATGCACATGATGTATAAAGAATAAACCTAACATTTCCAAGTTTAAAGTTGTTCAAATGTTTGAAACTCTCAGAATCAGTATGAGGGAAGACGGACCAAAATATGTGGTTTGAGAGGGGTGGGAAGGAAGCCATCTATGTTAAGAAAGAAAAACCAAGCTTAAAAAGAGGGGGTGGACTCAGATTTCAAAAACCTACAATGCAGCAATTGGGTTAATCCCTTTGTGCTATCATCGCCTCCCCCAGCCCCTGTACAGGAAAGCAAGGGACCTCGCCTATTCAGCCTGGCCCACAATTCCCTTTAACGACCCCTCTTTGAGACACATTGACAGGTATGTAGCATTGCAGGCTAACAAAAGAAGCCCAACGACCCCCATTCCGAAGGGGTGGACCCTTTCATCCGTTTCAATTTGCATGTTTTCTAAACAAAAACAAGCTTTTATTGGGCTAATGTATACAACCTGGAACTCAACATTATTTCTGACATTTTGAATTGAAAAAGCTTCCTGGATGGGAAGAGAAACATCCTCAAACTTGGAAACAAAGTCCAGTAGATTGTTTTTAATTTTCTTTTTTCATAATATAGATGATGTTTTACCAAAGTAAGGACATTCTTCTGGCCCACCCTTCATTTTTACTAACAGTTTAGGGCTGGTTATACTCCCCCAGCAGTGTGTCAGTTAGCTTGCCAAAGGTATGACGCAGATGTTTCTGATTTATGCCCAATTTTGAAACGTGGTCTACGCTATGTAGATTGTGTTCGTTCATTCAGGTCATAGTCATTCCAAAAAAAGAACATTAAAAACAATCATCGGACTTTGTTTCTGTTAATATGTGGAAGTTATGTCCCCCTGAAGGCAGCTGCACCTCGGAACTTCCCTACCGGTTGCATCTTGCCTCTATGCCCAAGAATTACAGATAGTTTCCCTTTATCAGACCGGCTCCAAGATGTGCCCATATCCTTTGTACTTCTAAAGACACGAAGGCTGTCCTGATTAGATGACCTCCGTACACACAGTGACATCCACAATGTGAAGGAAGGCCTTCTGCTCTGTCTAATCTGACTAACAGAATAACAATGCACATGATGTATAAAGAATAAACCTAACATTTCCAAGTTTAAAGTTGTTCAAATGTTTGAAACTCTCAGAATCAGTATGAGGGAAGACGGACCAAAATATGTGGTTTGAGAGGGGTGGGAAGGAAGCCATCTATGTTAAGAAAGAAAAACCAAGCTTAAAAAGAGGGGGTGGACTCAGATTTCAAAAACCTACAATGCAGCAATTGGGTTAATCCCTTTGTGCTATCATCACCTCCCCCAGCCCCTGTACAGGAAAGCAAGGGACCTCGCCTATTCAGCCTGGCCCACAATTCCCTTTAACGACCCCTCTTTGAGACACATTGACAGGTATGTAGCATTGCAGGCTAACAAAAGAAGCCCAACGACCCCCATTCCGAAGGGGTGGACCCTTTCATCCGTTTCAATTTGCATGTTTTCTAAACAAAAACAAGCTTTTAATGGGCTAATGTATACAACCTGGAACTCAACATTATTTCTGACATTTTGAATTGAAAAAGCTTCCTGGATGGGAAGAGAAACATCCTCAAACTTGGAAACATATATGCATTAGCCATAGTGTTTTAACAAAAAAGACCAAGCTTTAACAAGGTGGACTCTGACCCTTCATCACATTTGGGTTAATCCCTTCAGTGTTCATTCTCAAAGATATGTTTGAAGCAAGCTTTAACGGGCTACATGCTATTCAACCGGCAACCAAAGTTCATTAACTGCTGATTTCTGTTGAAATTTGACAGTGTTCGTAGCATCCTTTACCAACAGGAGCCAGTTAATTCCGAAGTGGGTTCATTTTTTTGGCTTCTCAAACAAATGACAAGCTTTAATTATGGGCTACAAAGCAATGGCCACCTGGCCACTCCAAATTCATTTTGACTGATGAAGCTTTGGATGGAGTTATGACATCCACTTGGCAGGTAAGTCATCATTGTTTTTAAGCTGCCAATAAGAGATGTTTTAGACATTCTGACTTCAATTTAAACAGTGTTAGGCATGGTATTACTCCAGCATGTGTCACAGTTAGACTTTTGGCACAAAAGTAGGAGTATGCTGATATGCAATTTTGAAATGGTTTGCAGTTATCAAAGGTGTTAAAGCCAGATACGGAATTACGTTATTCGCAGAAAGCAGTATGTATATGAGATAATACGTTGAATGTGGTCATTCATTTGTCACAATATAGATTTCTTGCATGCAAATGGAGATGCTGAGATTTTACATGCTTGCAATTTTAAGCTATGTTCATTTGCATTTAATTTCATTTATTTTTATTATAGATTAATTATTGAGCATTTATTTTATCACCCCCTTTTTATTGATTTCATGATTTATTTATACTTATATATATATATATATATATATATCATTTATTTTATTAATTTAAAGTAAAAATCCTACTATTGGTCTTTTTTTATTATGATTAAAAAGCCTGAATTGATCCTTAAAATTTTTTCTTATCACAGCTTGATTTGGTCCATGAATTATCAGCCTGTTCGGTGTCTTGATGTATGTGTGCAGGTTTATGTAAACGTTTAAAAAAAGTTTTTGTGATGATCCCCTTTTATCATGCCATTTTATTAGACAATTTTTTTGCTTGTTAAGCAATAAGTGGATTTGGTTTATTAATGAATACAAATCAAACTGTACAGTGTTAATATATAATGGGCCCCGGGCCATTTTGTACTATAAAAATTGGGCCTCAAGGTCGAAAAGGTTAAGAACCCCTGCTACACGGTGTCTGGGATAGTGTCTGAGGTATGCCAGGCGTTGTGGACGGCACTACAGCGAGAGTTTCTGCCATTAGGTACCAAACAAGAAATATGGATAGTGGATGTAAAATTGGCCAATCAGAGGCCTCCTTTCTCTCCTCCCTGCGATAGCTACACTACCTGCGGTCACCTACAATTTTAGGGAGGTGCCTCAGAGTGTCTGCATAAGGGACACACCCACAGACGACCTGGTTTCTGAGCATAAACCAGGCTTTATGGTTAGAGACATGAATTGGTAATGGATTGGCTTAAGATTATTGTCAGAGTTAGGGTATAGAAAGGGTTAAAGTACCTTAAAAGCTTTAAATACAAAAAAGGTAGTGAAGCAAAGCTTCAATTGGGGGTTGAGTGAAGCAACTAAAAAAAACAAAAAAAAAACAAAAAACTAAAGCTTTTCTCCCCAGTAACTAACCCACGTTTTACAGGTTTCAGTGAATTCAGGCAGTTTAAACTGTTATGTTTCCAAACAGAAGCCTTTTCTCGCTCTACAACCAGCAGGACTTCAGCTTCCATCCTGTCTGACACAAGCCGTCAGACACAACTCTCAGCTCAGCAGTCTTTCCGCTGATCTCCTTCCTTTTTTTCCCTGCTGTTTCAGCTACATCCTCAACTTCCTGCGGACGTCTGAGCTCACGCTGCCGTGTGACTTCAAGGAGCTGGAGCTGCTGCGGAAAGAGGCAGACTTTTACCAGATTGAGCCCCTGATCCAGTGCCTGGGAGACCCCAAACCTCTGCTGCCGTACCCCACAGACACTTATGAGGAGGTGGTGGAGCTATCCAGCACCAGGAAGCTCTCAAAGTATTCCAACCCTGTCGCAGTCATAATCACCCAGCTCACCATCACTACCAAGGTCCTTTAACATCCTCTTCTTATTTTGTCTCGCCTCTGCAGGCTGCATGAACTAACCACTCCTTTTCTTACAATTTCAAAGACCTAGATGTTCTATAATGTTAAGGGTGGAGTCACAATTTTTAAAATCTTCAAATCTGTAAGAAATGTCTGTCTTAATTGAAGCTCCTTCAGTCTAGAACTCAAGGTTCTTTATAGGTCATATGAGTAACAGAGCAATCCGTGCATAACTAGTCATGGGTTGCTGGTGACCGACCTAGATCTACATTAGTAGAGTTTTAGTCACATGTTTCAGGGTCAGTCTAGATTGATTTTCTTCTCCAGGCTTTCTGGTCTATTGCTTTTTCCCCACCAATTTTCAGGCCATCACCTGATCATTTGGTTGGTTCTGTCAGATCAGTCTGTCTAAACTTACTCCCTCACTGGTTCCAAACCAGCGTTTTATGCAGATTCCCTGAATAGTTCGATAATTTGGACTTTACGAATAGAAATGAGGAACCCCTGTGTTTTTTTTTTCCTTCAGGTTCATGGGTTCCTGGAGTCCATCTCCAAAGGTTTCACCAAATGGAACAAACACATGATGGACACAAGAGATTACCAGGTTTCCTTCACGTTTGGGCCGTGTGACTACCAGCAGGAGGTCAGCTTGCGTGTCCACCTGCTGGAGTTCATCTCAAAAGCTGTACGTCTGTTTTAACACATCAGTCTGAATGAAAAACAGACGCTGAGCTTTGAACAGTCATCTGCTGACTGTCTATGCATTTCAGGGTTTCACCATAAGAAACACACGGGTTCTTCACATGAGCGAACGAGCCAACGAGAACACGGTGGAGCATCACTGGACGTTCTGCAGACGAGTTCATAAAGTCGACGACTGATAAACAGGAGGAACCTCAGAGGGTGGCTGCGTCTGCAGACACGGGCGGATGTTACAGGATCATCAGCTGATACTGAACACCAGGGACATAAAGGACAGATTTTATTTATTCATACACGTCTTTGGTTCTGTGTAATGCAAGGGGTGGAAATGTAAACTCCTTTCACTAAACAACATGTACTAACCTATAAACATGTTACAAGCTACAACTCTTCATAATACTTGCCTTAGGTTTTTTAAAAAGTGCATCAGTTTCGTCTTTTTATTAAAAAAATCTCACGATCATCTGTTATTAATCCACACATGTTCTGACACTAACCGGTTCTGGTGTCTGAATTCTGCTGATGGCTATGGGTCACTTTAACATTTCTAAGCTGTTTACAAATCTGTTAATAGCTACATATTTTTACAAATTTGAAGATAAATGGTGGAAAATATCCTTTTTTTGTTAACTTAATGACACGTTTTCCCAACAGGATTTTAGATAATTTTATCAAAAGTCAGGCCATCTGAATTTAATGAAATTAGACAACCTTGGGAAAACCCAGATAACTCCAAAGAACTCCTCATATTACTTATACTCATATTACTTACCCACCAGAGCATGTGAGCGGAGCGGAAGAAATATGGTGGAGCGCTGAGCGGTTTTCAATTCAAAGGCCCGAGTGAGAATTTCGCTTCGATCCAGTACATTCCGATGCGAGGTGTTAGGTTCATAGCTGGGAAACAGTGCGATAATTTAACAGCCAGTTAAATAAGACAATACACATCATGTATCGGTGACATCGTTATATCAAACGCCGTGTGTCCCAGGGCCCTGGCATAATTACATGAAGGAAAAATGTCAGAAAATGCCTTCTCCTGAAAATTTGAGCAACCGTTGAGCGATTTCACCGGAGCAACAGGAAAATTAAGGTTAGCGCGGAGCCGATTTTGAGTGGAGCGTCCTGTCGCAACTTTGAGCGGTGGAGCGAATGAGCGATCATCCTCCTGAACAGGGAGCGAGAATTGCGTAACGCTCCACTCCGTTCACATGCTGTTTCCCACTGGCCGAAAAACCTGTTTAAACCTGGAAACTAGGGCTGAAAGAATTAATTGTGATCAATCGATTATAAATCGTCAACTAATTTAGTAACCAATTAATCGTTAAATGGAGTATAGAGACTGTAAAACATGCCTTGAGCTAACAGAGCAACCCACTTAAAGCAGTAATTAAACCAAGATTGTCAAAAAAAAGTCAAACAGTTTGCTTTTAAGGTAAAAAAACAGACAGATTAATCGATTAACAAAGTAATCGTTAGTTGCAGCCCTACCAGGAACAATCGGGTTTTAGTGGCAGTGGGAACAGCTCACTGATCCGTATCTACGGTCTCTGATTGGCATGCTGTGGGAACACCAGAGCTGGGTTGACCTCCTAAATTACATGTCCTTACTGAGCGCAATGTATGGATGTCAAAAAACCGTGACAGTTGCTTCTAGTCTAACAACCCGAAACAACTCTGTTTACATTCGATAAACATGGAGCGGCTCTGGTGAGAGGGATTGGGATGGATAAAAGAGCGAAACAATAATGAATACTGACTACGCTCTTGCTCCCGCCCATTTTGCTCTCCATTATTTACTTCCCTGATTTCGATCGAACTGTCGACATCATCAACGCTCACTCACCCAGCCTGATGCCCTCAGACATCAGATACGTATCGGTAGGGGACAGTGGTCAAGAGCTGCCAGCAGGGGGTCTGACTGGGCTTTTTGGTCAAATGGGTAAAGAGCCAAAAGCCGATTGTTAGCGGGTCAACCCAGTTTTGAAAAACACAGGTTTTCAGTGGGAAAGTGGCTTTCATATAGTCAAACTGTCACAGTAATTTACAGAAAATATGGAGGTTAGAAAAAGAATTCATTATATCATCAGTTGGTAACAATTTGTAAAAAAATTTAGGTGTTTATAACTAAAACAGTAAAAGTACATCATGGTAAAGGGACTAAACTAAAGCAAAGCTACGACTGTGCAAACCAAACTAGTCACTAAAGCTACTGATTAACTTTAGGTTAGCTGTCGACTTCTCCATAGAGAGTTTGGTGCTTTTCCCAACAGCAGGAAATCACGTCCATTATTCAGATTTATCTTTCCATTTATCCACTGATGCTAATTTCCACCCCCTGGTGTTTGTTTGTTGTTCCCTCCTGAAGCTGCAGTTAGTCTGTTTTGTTGTAAAATGTGTTTATTAACACAATGGATGCACGTTAGTGAAGGTTGTTAACAGCTTCAGGTTGATATCTAATGTCAGTATTGCATGGGTAGAGTTAGCGAGGGCACTGAGAAAAGTATGTGAACCCTTAGAGATTTCTTCAGTGTTTACTTAATTTTTTTCTCCCACGATTTCATGTGATCAATCAAGATTTCATATGAGAGCAAGAAAACCTGGGGAAACACGAAAAGTTATTTCTAAATTATGATTTTATGTTTTATAAAGGGGTCAAATAATTATCCCTATTTGGATGTAGTCCTAGAAGAAACAGAACATCATAGCTACAGACCAACATGGTGGTGGTAAAGTGATGCTGAGGGGCAGAGAACTTGCTGTAATCGATGGATCAGCATCAGTTCTGCTCTCTAGCAGAAAATCCTGGAAGAGAGACTTCAACCATGTGTTTTAAGTTGGCTCAAGTTGAAGACCATTTAAATGATTTACTCTGTTATTTAAAACACCTGATGGCTACACTTACAACCTGGTATTAGGTATAGGAGGGGGAAGATTCTCAGTCATCCGGGTCATACTCATTCCAAAAAAGAAAGAATAACAATCCACTGGACTTTGTCTTCCAAGTTTGAAGACGCTTCGCTTCCCACCCAGGAAGATTTTCCAATTCAAAATGTCAGAAATGGCGTCGAGTTCAAGGCTTTATACAGTAGCCCAACAAAACCTTTGTTTTGTATGGAAAACATGCAAATTGAACCAGGCGAACGGGTCCACCCCTTTGGAATGGGGGTCGTTAGGCTTCTTTTGTTAGCCTGCAATGCCCCATACCTGTCTATGTCTCTGAAACGGGGGGGTCGTTAAAGGGAATTGTTGGCTTGACTGAACCGACAAGGTCTTCTGTTCCCCTGTAAAGGGGTTGGGGCTGCCATGATAGCATGAAGGGGTCAACTCTATTTCTGCATTGTAGGTTTTTGAAAGCTGAAATCTGAGTCCACCTCCTCTGTTTAAGGTTGTTTTTTCTTTATTAACATAGATGGCTTCCTTCACATCCCCCTCAAACAACCCATTTTCTTTGTCCAAAATGTCAACATTCTGGTCCTCAAAAGAATGACATTCCCTTTAATGACCCCCCATACCCATAGACTTAGGGTATGGGGCATTGCAGGATAACAAAAGAAGCCAAACAACCACCATTCCAAAGGGGTGGACCTCTTTGTCCGTTTCAATTTGCATGTTTTCAAAACAAATCCAAGTTTTTAACGGTCTACTGTATAAGAGCCTCGAACTCAACACCGTTTCTTACATTTTGAGTTGATAAAGCTTCCTGGATGGGAAGCAAAATGTCTTCAAACTTTTAACTTTCTTTTTGGAATAGGTATAGGAGGCAATTTCCTTTTCCTAGAAAGAGTCGTTGGCCAAGATTAATTTATATCCTCAAAAGATACATTTAAAAATAGAATCTAATTCAATCTATTGAAAAATATTTTAAAAATTCAGGTCATCTTAATCTGACGTGTTTTAATGATCTAAAAAGGTTCAAGAGATAAAAAATGAAAACAGAAGGAGTCTATAAGATGTAAATACTTTTTAATAGCTCTGCCTAGATATCTTGTATTGCAAGCAAAAGAAATGTTGTATTTGCATGTATGTGTGTCCAAACCATATGAAAGTGTTTTATAAACATTTTGGCTGTCAAAAAACAATTAAAATCAAGATCTATTTGTATATATTATTAAATCTTATTGGGTTACTGGAGAACCTACAGTTGTTTAAACTTTGGGGATCAACTGACTAACAAGGCGCACTGAATACACCATAAAGAGGTTGTATGAAGATCGCACGCCCAACTGCACTGAGTGAAAAACTGGGAAAACATCTCGGTACAGGCAGTTGTTGTGGCTGTTCCCAGTCTGGAGTCATCGGGTCATAAATATCCTGAACAGGACCCACTCAAGGCGATCCAAGAGAAAGAACAGAGAACCAGAACAGGTCACAGGCAGCCAAGAGTCAGCGCTGTTCCTGGGGAGATCATAGACATTCTGTCCAATGGAGCAACTATTATTGGCCTAATTGATGAAAGAAGGCAGTCCTGGTTCTGGCAAAGAGAGACCAGATGGGACTAGTAAGGGGACCAACAGACCAGTCACCACCCACGCTACCAGCTGTAGCTCCAGCAGTGGGCGTTTGAGCAAAACCTCTGGTATTGGCCAATGGAAGATGGTCCTTCGGCTTGATGTTTCAGCATTTCTCTTTCCCCACAAAAACTATATGTCATAGCATCTGCTATAAGTCAACAATGTTCCACAGGGAAAACATGACTATCCATGTAAATGTTAGAGGAAAACCTGAACACAGAGATTTTCTTATTTTCTTAAGCCAGAAACTCTTAAGCCTGTGTTTATTATTACAATCAGTTTGAAACGTTCCCTTAAAATAGACAAAAAACATTCAACCCTCAATGTGCAAATAGTGTTCCCCAATGATAGCTGTCTGTCTGTGAAGCTTGCTGTTTACTGTTCTACAGTCAAGAAGGACAACTTTGATCTAAAGATATTAAATGTTATGAAAAAGCTGTGGTGTCAACCTCCAAATAAAGACCTAATATACCCAAAATTTTATCGATTAACCAGTTAGAGTTAGTCAATGAGTTATTCTAATGGAGGAAGACACAGCTGTCATATAACTCAACAACACATCTACTTTAAGGGTACAACTTGATTTATTAGAAAAGAAAATCCCTTTATTGTTCCACAATAGGGACTTTATGGTATTTGTGTTATAAACTTGATTTATTACATTCACAAAATCATTAACATTGGTTATTACCAAGATAGATTTTATTGTATGTCCCTTATATGCAGCTGGAAATGCATATATTTTAAAGTGAAGTGCTTGTGGGAGCATGTGGCTGTAGGTGTGATTCGACAACAAAGACAACAATCGCTTCCCAAGATGGCCGCCATTTGCCATGTGTTT